ATAAAAATCTTATGTATTCAAGAAACAAAATGAGTTTGATAAAATACTAAGGAAATTGATAGCTTATGTTTTAAACTTTAATTTCCAGGTAGGAGCCACACTAAAAATCGTGTAGGTGTAATTATAGAAAACAGTGAGAGATAATGTTATAAAAATTAATAGAATTGATGATAAAATTATAGCCCTAAAAATTTTTAGTGTTACAAGTGTTTATGCTCATTAAGTAGGTTTAAATATAGGTTCAAAAGAAAATTTGAAGAATTAATACAAACGATACCTCTTGAAGAAAGAATTTTTATTAGAAGGAATTTAAATGGACATGTTGGTAGAGTGGTGGAGGATTTTAGAAATATTCATGATGGTTACGGTTTTGAAGTGATTAATGAAGAAGGTGAACTATTTTAGATTTTGCTTTTACATATGATTTTGTTATTGCTAATATTTTATTTAAAAAAAGAGATGAAGATATTATTACTTATAAGAATTAATCTAATAAAACACAAAAAATGATTATTTGTTTATGAGAAAAAGAGATCGTCGAAAGTGTAAAATTGTAAGGTCATTTCAAGTGAAAATTTAAGCACTCAACATCGATTATTAATTTTGAATTTTAATTTGAAGAGTTGCAAGATAAAGAATACAAGGAAACATTATCATAGAATTAGCTTTGGGCACCTAAAAAACACAAATAAAATTATTTTTATAAGTAAACTTCAATATTTCAAGATTTAAGATTTTTATAAAGAAACAAATTCTATGTGGGAAAAAGTTACAGCCACTATTAAACAAGTGACAAAACATACGCTTGGAGAATCAAAAGGAAAAATTTTAAAAAATAAAAATAATTGGTGGTAGAATAATAATGTGCAAGAAAAGATAAAATATAAGAAATTGTGTTATAAAAATTAGTTTAAATGTAAAAGCTTAGAGAACTGGTAAAAAATATAAGGTGATTTGTAGAGAGTCTTAAAAGATAATTTATGACACTAAAAGTTATACTTTTAGTGATCTTTATAATAAATTATATACTAAAGAGGGAAGAAAATATATGCCTAATTTAGCTAAACAAAAAGAAAAGAAAAGAAATAAATTAATTCAAGTAAAATTTATTAAAGACGAAAAATCAAAGTACTTTTCTTAGAGGAGGATATTTAGCTTAGCTGATTGAGTTATTTTGATAAACTTTTTAATGAAATTTTTGAAAATATTATCAACCTTAGTGGTCTTAATAATGCTAATAATAATAAAATATTTTATTTTTACTATCGCATTAGTAAAAAAGAAATTGATGAAGCTTTAAAGAAATCCAAAGATGAAAACTTAGTAGGACCTAATAATATCCCAATTAAAGTGTGGAAATATTTAGGAGGTTTGAGAATTTATTGGCTTACAAAACTCTTTAATATTATTTTAAAACTAAAAAGATGCCTCGAGAGTGGAGGAAGAATATTTTGGCTCGCATCTGTAAGTATAAAAGAGAAGAACAAGAGTGCAAATTATAGATGGATTAAGTGGATGTGTGATACTTTAAAATTATGGGAGATGATTATTGAATGTGGGTTGAGACGTGATATAAAGATTTTTAAATTTATGCTGGGAAGTCTACTATGGAAGTTATACATTTATTAAGAGGTTTGATGGAGAAGGAGAGACTAAGGAGAATCGACATATAATTTTTTATTGATTTAGAAAAAGCTTACGATAGGATTCCAAGAGAAGTCATTTGGAGAGTTCTAGAGAATTAATGTGTTAATATGATTTATATTCAAGCCATTAAAGATATGTATGCTAGAGTTGTTACTTGTGTTCAAACATAAAAAGGATTGACGAAATATTTTACTATTTTGGTTAGATTACATCATTAATCGGTTTTGAGCCCATATCTTTTTGCTTTAGTTATGGATGCTCTTACTGGACATTTACAAGAGAATGTACCTTAGTGTATGCTTTTCGCTGATGACTTTTCGCTGATGATATCTGATGATATCCTTCTTTTGGATAAGACTAGAGGAGTTTGGGAAATACTTGAATTATGGAGCTCTACATTGGAGTCTAAAGGCCTTTGTTTGAGTAGATTTAAAACTAAATACATGGAATATAACTTTAATAGTAGCTCTAGCGGCAGAGTTGTAATAGTGGGTGATCAAATCATTAAAAGATGTGAATGTTTTAGAAATTACGGGTCTATTATTTAAAGTGATGGTGATATAGATGGAGATGTTATTAGTAGAATTCAAGTTGGTTAGTTGAAGTGGAGGAATGCATTGGGCTTATTGTGTGATAGATTATTGTGTGTATTGTGTGATAGAAAAGTACCGCTCATACTGAAAGAAAATTTTTTTAAGATGGTGAGGCCTGCAATACTCTAAGGCACAAAATACTGACCTTTAAAAGAGAAGCGTAAAACAAAGTTAAGTGTTGTTGAGATGGTTGAGATGAGAATGCTGTTGAGATGAGAATGCTTAGGTGGATGAGTGGCTTGACACTAAGAAATAATATGCAAAATGAATATATTCGTGATAGGGTTGGTGTAGCTCCAGTGGCGAACAAGATTAGAGAGACTCGTCTTAGATGGTTAGGTTACATTAAACATCGACCATCTGATTATCTTATTAGGAGAGTAGATATTTTAGATTCTACTTATGATAAGAAAGACAGAGATAAACCTAAAAAGACTCGGACAAATTGTATATAAAAAAAAGATCTTAATCTAATAGAATTAAATGCAAAAATATAACACTCACCAGGATGCAACGAAGAAAAATGATCCATGTAGCTTACCCAACAAATAATTGACCATTGACTATAAACTAAATTGTTAAACTAAAAATCAAATTGATTGTGTGATATTTAATCTAATTTTATGCCCCTTTTAAATCAATCCATAACAATTATTATTAAAGTTAAGGATTCTACTAAGATTAAAGGGATTGTTTCGGGTAGTTGTGGCTATTTGAAGAAGTAGTTGCAGTAGAAGTTATTGTTCAAAAGATTGCAGTTGCTTTTATCATTTTTTTAAAGTCAGGCCGCAACTCTCTGACAACCACCACATTTAACCAAGTTAGGTTGCCAAAAGAAGCTTTACATCACACCTTTTTGAGAAAACAGACAAAACGTAGTTTTACCAAAATCGCAACTACCGTACAGCTGCTCCAAATGCACCCTAAATGGTTCATGTGGTATATGACTCGGGTAGGTCCTTAATGGATTCAATCATAATCGAGCAAAATTGTAAAAAAATGATTGACTCCCACAACTCATCACATTATTGAGCAAACACTTAATATATAATATTTGATGAAGTTAAAATACATTTATATGAGCGAAAAGATCAGTTAAATAAGAAATAAATTATCATAGTAGGAAAGACTATAGCTAATTCAAAGCATATAAATTAAAAAAAGATTATTAATATAAAAAAAATCAAACAATTAGCAATTTACATTTTAAAATTAAGCTTTGAAGCTCAAAATGTCACATAAATGCTCAACACGATGAACAGGACAACTACAGCTTCAAAATCAAGTAATCACGTCAAATAATCATTAATCTGCAGCATACATATTAATATAGTAAACTGTTATTCCCAACTATTTTAAAATTTAGCTTTAATAGTTCTCAGTAGGGACTATTTCATCCTTAATTTAGAGAGTCGTTGAATTATTTTGACACTTTTATAAACTCTGGGACTAAAATGACTAAATATAAATGTTGGCACTTTACTCCATATTAATATATTGCACTTTGTTATGTGAATATAGAAGCAAAACAAACTTGGTAAACAATAAAAAAAATAAATAATAAATAAATAAAACTAGGGAAATTTATAAAGCATTGGTTCACAATAAGACACATGGAAAGAATTGCTGAAGAGCACAAAGATTAATGATATTATGAATGCGAGAAAAAATTTATAAATAAGTTCATAAAGATAATAATTGTAGCTTTTAAATCTATCTCATTTATCCAACTATCTTTATTGAGCTAATTTCGTAAGAGAATAACGCAAGATAAACAATATGCTAGAATTCCTTTAAATTCAACCCTTCGTCAATATTCACAAGTCAATGAAGCAATCCGCACCTCATTTTTAAATGAGAAGTTACGCCGAGTTCAAACAAGACTCTAGCGACAAGACCTTGAAAATGAGAGGTAAAAGCTTGATAAAAATTTAAGTTAGAGAAGATAGAGCGACTATTTTGAAGAAGTGCAAACAAAGTCAGAGGAATTTAATGGGTATAACATCTCAAAGTGAGAGGAAGAACATAAAAATATACTTGATAAGGCAATGTGTAAAGCGAGTGGGAACATGGGAGGTGTGTGACATTGACAACATGAAACATCAATGCGCAAGCAAAAAAACCCTCGTGCGATATGATGCTATGTAAGGCGAGTGAAACACATAAAACATGTGAATAATGTTTAGCATAATGAGATGGCATGGGAGGAGAAATACTGCATTCAACATGTGTGGGTGTGAGGCAAAATGATACTGCTTTCGTGAGCAAAGGTAGCTGGACAGAGTTGAGAGAGACTGAAACTCACTAATACTTCTCAATTGTACATTGATTTGAAGGAAGTGAAGCAGGAAAATTCAGGACCGAGGGTTTCTTAATGCATATAAGGCATGCAAAAAGAACTAATGGATTCACGTATAAAAATATGAGAATTGAAATCTAAACAATATACAAAAATCAAATAAATTTTAAGATATTAACCAAAAAAATTAAGCCACACAGAAATAACGAATTATTGAAATTAATTCACCATAAATAGAATCTTAGTTGTACCAAATTCTGAAAAAAGCTGCAATACTACCAATGCAGTCATATGATATGTAGAAGAAATTAGGTTAAAGAAAGAACTCTTCAAAATAAAAATTACATACCTCAAATTGGTAGATCAAGATGAATTCCCCTTAAGTCTTCATTTCTATCGATGCAATTGTCTTTAAAATTAGCTCGACATGATAAAAAAAAAACAGGGGAGGATTGGCCCAATCTAGCTCTAAGAAATCAGTCTTCATAAAAGAAATGCCTCTAAATATTTCTCCAAGGCTGAATCTTCAAATTCTTCAGATTGATTTCGCTTTAATCTTCTTAGATGGTCTCACCTTCAATATAGTATCGGTGGCTTCTAATGCCATTAGTTTTGTCCTGAACTCTATGAATTCATCATGGTGATTCTTCGAAAAGATCGTAACTTACAATGCAGCTTATTTTTAAATCCTTGAAGATGTAAGCAAGTTCTTCCCTCATCATATTCACTTCAAAATGTGTGGCAGCATCTTCGTGGAAAGGGAACTCAAACTATCTCTTAAATTTGGGCTTCTAGAGTTCTTTCTACAAATGCTTTCCTTAATTAAGCTTAATTGCATGTAGGGTTTCCTTTTCATCTAGGAAATTGCAAAATTGTCCAGTCTTCCTCGATTTTTATTCTTCTTGCCTTCTCTAAATTCACAAAAGATGTTAGAAGAGCTCCTTATTTTTTGTCGTTTAAAAATTCTATTATTTTTTCTTACATACGAAATCTTAAAAATAAGTTTATATGGCTTCTTGCAAGATGAAACTTAGACTGTTAATAGGAGACTTACCTACAATCATAGACATGTATAGCTCTCCCTTATCCACATTATTCGATAAAATCTACATCAATGCATAATGAACTATAAGTCCATGATCAGAGGCATTCAAACTTAACTAGAAACTTGGCTTCAAAGGATTGACAAAAAAATTGACAATACCTCCTGTGAACCTTCTTCCCAAAAGAAGATGATTGCCCCAACTCATCGCTATAACAAGGCATAAATAAATTCATTGGTTGGACAAATTGATGTTACACAAAATAATGACATTTATGGAAGATGATGGTGAATGAAAGAAAAAGATGATTGGCCTCCTCTAAATGACAAGTTGAACAACCCAAGCAAGGCACAATTTTCAGTTAACTTTAAGTTGTTATTCTAATTTTATTTCATGTGTTTTTGGATTTCCATTTGTATACAAGTTTGTGGTTGAGAAAAATCATTAAAAATATTATGTAACATGTGAGTTAGCTTTCTAAATAAGTTGAAGTCTGTGCTGCAACTACATTAAATTTCAAGTCAAAGCAAGCTTGGTCGGCATCCCTAGTGGATTTATAAATCCTTTAATGTGACGTTCCATCTTCCACGAGCAACAATCTGTTGGTCAAATACCCTTTCAATTTCCCAGAGGAAGCAAAGAAGTCTTGAGTTTGTTTAAAAAAAATCTATAATTCCTCATGATCTTTTGTCTTCTCATTCATTACCAATGCTCATAATGTTAATAAATCTATAATATAGCATTCTTATGATGAACTGAAATTAGACGTTAGTGAAGTATTCTTCTTCCATGGAACGGCTTGGTGCAATTTCCTCAGTCTTCGACTCTGTGGCCTAGATCAACTCTCTTTTGTGGAGGTTTTGCATCTTCGTTTATTACAATGTTTTTATTTCTTATTTTTGTTTTCTTGTCGTTATTTTCTCTTCTACGTCTCTCTTATGTGTCATGGAAAAGTTCCCTGAGTTCCTACACTTTAAATTCCCAACAATTTCATCATTTATTCTCACATTTAAAAAAATCAACAAATTTTACCATAATCTAGCCACAGTCTCAATTCCGCTCCACAGGACTACATGCCAATACTTCTGCACTACAGTCGTAAATAACTCTAGTATCATTTTAGCTCACATACTAAACTAAGTCATTTACACCCATCATCTTTTTCTTCATAACCTTTCCTTAAGTTCCACAATAATCAGCCACTAGAAACAAATCCACAAAGCAATAGATGTGATTAGGGCAATTTGTATAAACCTCTTTAAAGTTAAAAGTTAATGTAAGAAATAATATATTTATAAGACTTCATAAAAAAAGGATAATAATTTATTATATTTAAAAAAACAGCAAATAGGACTGATAACTATGTATCATTCTTAGACTGTGTTAAAGCACATTGACATAGCAAATAATTATTATTCTACTATAATACCAAATTATTACATCAAATTTAAACAGCAATATCAGGATTTCATAACAAATTTTAGTACAATATGATCAAAAAAAGATATATATGCGGGTTTCTTGAAACCAGGGTTATAAATGAAAAAACTGAACTAATGTCACTCAATTATTTTCTTATTGACTTTGAGATATGCTTAATTATCAGCCAAATTTTAAATTTTTGTTTGAGCATGCTTATTACTTTTTTTGATTAAGTTTTACTTGTAATTGAAATTCAATCAAGCCTAAAATTTATAATTTTATACCAATAATTTAAAAATATATATTGCTAAAGGAAAACCTGTCTTTACCGCCTAAATTTTTTTCAGCTAGTTATTTACCACCTAGTTTATAAGCTGAATGCCCAACATGACACTAGCGGCAAAAAAATTTGTTTAAGTTTCAATCAGTCAATTGAAACAGCTGAAAAACTGCTGATCCTTTTGGCCCAAACCCTGACTTCTCCACTTCATCGCTCTCTGATTCTCCCTCAGCTACGACACCCTAGCATGGGATTATCTCGGCGACTGTAAGGTTCTCAGCAGTACTTGATTGCGGTTATTTTTTTGGTGAATTTTGATATTTGAGTGAGAGAAAATTGGTTGAAATAGGATGCTAGTTTGTAAATAGCAATGTTTCGAGCGCTATGCATGTCAAAGACCCTAGTTTTAATTCGGTTTCCCCAAACCCGAATTACATTGCTAATGGGCCGATGCAAGTTCTAGATAAAGCAGTGACACGTTAGGTAATTTCTAGATTTAAGGTTGTTATGAGAAATCCAATTGGGCTTCTCTTAGTTTGCAGGTGGTTTTGAGAAAAAAAGAGTAGTTTTTTTGGGTAGTTTAACGCTGAACTAAGCCAAAACTCTTCCATTACGACCTATTCTTGACTTTGGTCTTCTTGATTTGAATTGTTTTAGATAATTCAACAAGTGGTTTGATTGGTAGCTATACTGGTTGGTCGGGGCTATAAGTCAAAGTCTTTTCTATTTTATTGGTTCGAGTTATTTGGGTTGAACTTTGATATACTAATAGGTTAGTTGGTTGTAGATTGAGTTATTGAATGCTTATACGAGTTTTATCATCTTTTCATGACACTTTATAGCATTAATGATGTGTATAAGCTGATTTTGAGTTTCGGTATGTTTGAATTCAATTATGCCCATGATTAGGTGCTTGATCTTAGGTTTAGACTGGGTTTACACATTAAGATTATTTGGGTTAAATGGTTTGATTTTCTTTGATTTGTTCAAATTTAAGTTTGGATTGAGTGAGTTTATTTGGGAGTCGAGTTGAATTTAGTTTGTCAACACACAAACACACACATGATAAGTAGACAAGCCGGATCACAAGCAAACGAGTCAGTAGAGTATGGCTTGAGCTTGGTTTGTTAACTCATTAAAGAAGCTCATGAGCCACTTATCAAGCCGAGCACGAGCTGACTCAGTGAGTCAGTTTGGTTCATTTATACCAAAACTTCCATTATTTCATACATGCCACCTTAATTAGCTATACATGAAAAGGTGTATTTCACTTTTAAAAGTTAAAACGGTGATATATTTGATGTGATATAAAATAATTGGGTGTTCCTTATATATTTACAAATCTAAGATGTGTTAATTTCAATCGTCACATACATACATATGTATGAAAGAGACTATTTAACTGGTGTGTTAAATATATTTTTCCTTAAATCTATTGGACACTAATGGATATTCAAATTTAAGATTATGAATGTACAGTACATTGCATCAAGGCAGAAAAATCCCCACTGATTAGTTTTTTAATAGTGTGAGTATTTCATAAATACGACATCACAAAATCCTACTTGCCTTTTAGAGGGCGAATTTCAATGTCAAACAATTGACGATGTTAAGTTGGATTTATATCGTAGGTGATTTCAACCTCGTAACTGATATTGGACTTCACATGTTGAATATGAATTATAAATTGATCATGATCACATTCGTGTTTCAACGAGTTATGCCCCCGAGAGTGAATATGATTCCAGTAAATTTGAATAAATAATTGTCGATGCAATCATAATTCAATTTGTTGAGCAACTTGATGAGGATGAGTCATTGAAAATAGAAGCTAAAAAATTTTATGAATTATTTAATATTGCACGACTATTGTAAGAAGGTTGCATCAGTTATTATGTGGTTATCAGTGGCTGTTATAATACTAAATATTAAATCGGACTAAGAAAATAAAAACAAAAAAATAAATAAATCAAATTATAATATGTCGTGATAATATTTTAATCACATCATAGGATTACCGAAAGAGACAAAACAGAAGAAAAAATCATTATTAGAGGACCAGTATAGAATGAAAAAAATTATGTCAAATTTAATATTGACATCAGAGAAGATAGATTATTGAGTTAATAACTAAATATTATATTACATAACTGATGCAATTCAGATGCAATGCAAATTTTGTGGCGCTTAAAGATTCTAACCACAAAGTAAAAAAATAAGAAAAGGAAAAATATTTCATATAAACATCTCTTCTACTTGTCACTCACTCTACGTCTTCAAAGATTCTTTGCCTCTTGCATAATATTTATCATGACACTGTGAGAGGTCTCGCAAATTCAGCTCTTTAAGTCATCCAACATATAAAAAAACATTAAAGTATTTTTTGTTGTACATGTTCTCATTTTACAACTGAGTTAAGTAATGTCAGACTTAGTTTTTGTGTTCACATCATACAGTTAGACTATCTTATCATACTCATGTTGATCAATGATGGCTATACTGTATAACTTATCATCTGAGATGGGCATAATTACATCATTTATGTTTCCCACACTGATCATACCTGATCCACATTGCCCAAAAAGCAAAATTGATATATATTTGTAGTCATTGATGGAGGTGCTTCAAATATTAAGAGAAATATAGGTCGTCACTTATGACATTGCTATAATACAAAACTTTCAAATAAAAGCAGCTTTGATGTGAACAATAAACAACCTTTCTGCCAATGAAATCCTATCAGGATGAAAAACTGCAGAAAATTTAACATGCTTGTACTATATGGATCTATCGAAGGTATTTATTTAAAAATATGATAGAAAAACTTTATAATTTGACTGGTATCATATGTTCTTACTTGTTAATAACACATTTAGAATGAATTAGGAATGTCTCATGAAAAATAAATTTGAGAAATCAAGGTCTCCTCCAAAAATACTTTGAGATGGCTTGTGACAAATAATTAGTGCAACTATGAAGATTACTGATTCTCCAAAATTATCTTCACAACATCTCACTAATTTCTATGTTACTTACAACTGGACAGAGCAGAATATTTTTGTGATCTGTCATAATAGATAACTAAGTTGATAAGATATAATCTTGATGTTATGCATATTACAATTTTTTTTTTACAATCTCTTCAGCATTGTGAAAGATATTAATAATAAAATCAAGGACAACATTAAAGTTGGATTAAACTTAAAAGAGTGTTGCAAGAGAAAATAGTTGGATTCAAAAGACAATCGTATGTAAACTGATAAAACTTAAAGTCAAATATTATCTAACTTTAAATTAGCGAAGAACTAATTGTGAATGGCTGCAATCTCCATAATTCTCTAGCGGATGTTCATCTAATTTTAGTGGTTGTGTCAACATGTCAGACATGAATGATATTTGACATATAAAGTCACGACTGTCATATTTTCTTTCAGTGTTTGCTAACTACAGTATTTAATAATTGGTCAAATTAGATACTTAATTTGTTAATTAAAATCAATATATTTTTTATGAATTTATGTGGAGCTTATTTGAATGTAAATGCATTGAGTATTTCAGAAATATTGTGCAAACTTGAAAAAATATTCCCTAGTAGCTTTTTTGACTCGATAGAGAATTTGCCCATACACTTATCTCATGAGACTATAATAGAGGGTCAAGTAAAGTACTGATGGATGTATCTGTTTGAGAAGTATGCCTTCTAAATGTATAATTATATAATTTTTTGAGAATTTTTACCCATACTAAATAATTAATGCTATTGCAGATTTTTAAATAAAATAAAAAAAGCCGTGAAAAATAAAGCATGACA